TCACAATACTGTATCTAAAAATAAGTTAGTAACTACACTGCTAACATGAAATCTGGAATACCAGAGAAGAAAATATTTATCATCAAAATACCTTTATAAATATTTTGTAATGTACACAAAATTTTTCTAACTAGTAAGAGTCCTCTATCATTACTACCTTGGGAAGTATATAAATTAAGTCTAGATTTCCTGTGTGCCTGGCATATAATATATATCCAAATATGTAAAAAAATTAATCCATCAATGAACTGTCAGGACTGCTACTTGGAAAATGTACAGATTAGACAAAGAAAAGAACCAGATAAACACTAAACTTCCAACAATTTTCACTATTCCCAGTCTGGAGTTCTAAAGTTAATAGGTTTTTCCTATCAGTCTGAGACTTAAGCAGTCTCAGCCAACTTTTGATTTGCTTAACAGTTTATCCTAAATGGACCATTTTGTCAATCTAAGTAATGATTTTCTCTGCTGTGTATTAAATAGTGGTACAAAATACCTAAATAGGAAGGTATTCAAAATATTATCATATCTCAACTCTTTGAGAACAATGAACATCTGTTCATTGATATCCACTTATGCAGTCAAAACTCTACTATTTTTGGTCACTACTTCAGCTTATCTGGACAACTGTGTATCATTTAAAGTCGCTTATGCACCAGCATTACCTTTCTCATCATAGTAAATGGAAATGTCTCCTGTTGATGTATAGACAATTTCATCTATGTCAGCAGCAAGAGCATTTTTATGGTTATCAGGTAATGAGGTAACCTTTTCTTTGAGTACCTGTAACACCTAAGTTTTGAAAAAAGCAAACCATTAGTTCACAATTAAACTTTGTAAAAAAATCTTCACTGTGGAATGAATTCTTCTATTTTTTACTAATCTTCAAAAGTAAGGCATTTAATTAAAGCCATCTAAATATTCAAGTAGATACTTCCTAATAGAACATTACAAAAACAGAAACTGAAAGACACCATAATTAGTTTTTATGCCCTTCTGTAGTAGGAATGATTCCAACTTTTATATAAAGGTAGACTCTACTTTGACTGCTGGCACACACAATATTTTTAAGCATAATGTGTACCATTCTATTACAAGAGAAACATACATTTACTTTTAAGAAAAATTAGAAGCATACTTACCTCTTTGGCAACAAGTTCTTCCAAAAGATCAAATTTACACTGTGATAACAACTTGGATACATGTGCAAAAGCCTTAAAAAATAGAGTAACAATTAGCATTTCAGAGTATAATGCATATTACTATACAATCTTACATGGCTAAGTTTAACAGGTTATTCTGTAATAAAGGTGATAACTTCAAATATAAATTTAACAATGGTAGGCATGGCACCTTAAAAAGTTGGTTGACTTTTCTTAGATCGCATTCCTACATATATAGTAGGGATACAACAGCTAATTAATTATACACAACTCTCACGACCCAAGAAATGACAGTGCATGCCTCAGACCCATTGCAACAATGACACATGTACAAGACACTATGTCCAAAACTGAACTTTACAATTTAGGAGCGGGGTCGGGGTGGGGGGGTAGGGGGGGTGGTGGTGGTTGTGGAGATGGGAGGGAAAGGATGGTAGGGGAAAAACTAAGGCGGAGCCAACAATGCTTGATAAGAAATGTTCTCATTACCTTGCTTATGTGATTGTAACCGTTCTGTACAGTATTTTCACAATAAAAAACATTTAAAAACCCACCTCATATATATGTAGATGTACACATATTTTTTGTATATGTTATGTACATGTATACATATATATTCTAATAACGACAAGGTAAATAACCATTTGGCAATTATACAAGGTACTTTTTTTTTTTTTTAAGCCAGTCCTGGAGCTTGCTCAAGGCTAGTGTTCTACTACTGGAGCCACAGTGCCACTTTGGCCTTTTTTTTTTTTTTTTTCGTTTTGGTAGTTTTCTGGTTATTCAAGAGAAGAGTCTTATGGACTTTTCTGCCTGGGCTGGCTTCAAACTTCAATCCTCAGATCTCAGCCTCCTGAGAAGCTAAGATTACAGGTGTGAACCCCCAGTGCCCAGCCTACAAGCTACTTCTTAATCACATATAGCAGGTAACTTTAGACTATTTTGGGAGTGTGAGAGAGTGTGCTGGTTTGCAGCTTAAACTTTATTGATGGAGATAAGGTAGGTTTCAGAAAGTGTGAGGAAAGAGAACAAGTTTATCAACTAAAACAGTGGATCTGAAACTTGAAATAATAGTGCAATTCTTCACATTCCTAGTAATGAGAAATGAAACTTAAAATTAGGACTTTTTTCTTCCATGGGTTTTCAGTCATTAAGAGGGTCATAACAACAACAAAACTCAGGGGCATTAATCATCAAAGTCTACTTGCTGCTGATGGGTGTGTGCTGTACTATACTCCCGGGTTCAGGGAGTCTCTGTAAACTCTCTGAAGGGGTACACTTTCTTTTCACTGATTATCCTTTAAGGAATGTGGAGATGTGCAATTAAGCTTGATCAAATACTTGGCAGGAATTCCTAATATCCAACAACAAGAGGCTCTCTAGTACTTTGGAAATGTTATCCCATTTCTCATCATAATCTTAGTGGACAAATTTAATCTTACCCAACCAAATCCACTCAATTTGTTCAGGGAGGTGTTCTTCATTATATCCTTTTATGAAAACATATATGTTATTGCAGATGTTGAAGAACTGTTTTGCTTGATCTGACTGGTATGCTCAATAACTATGGGTTTAAAGAAATTATCAAATATTTTTCCATAGCTGATCCAGACATTTGATTTTGGACATCAGAATGGTTAATTGACTTAGAGCAAAAGTGAACATAAATTGGATGATGGGGTAGAAATATAGTTTGACTGCAAGGAAGGAAGTTAAAACTGTTGGCAGCTAGGATCAGAGAAATTTCAAAGGTGTTCAAACTTCCTCTGTGTGTTCAGAGGCAAAAGAATGATGGCCTGACTCCTGCTCATGACAGGAAGATGATTTTCATTCCGTACACACACATGAGCTGGTAGTTACATATGTATTATGAAGTGAAGAGACTGACATGGTCATCAGAGGACAGTAGGGTCATACCAATTTACCTCTGCATGTACAACTGACATGGAAAACTAACATACGCAGAGAGGTTTATCCCCGCATTATGCTGCTGAATTAGGCATATTAATCAAACTTGGTCTTTGCACTTTAACTTTTCAAAAAATATATAAACACATATAAAGCAGTTAAGAGTTGACTTGGAAGCAGAGTTAATACTGACATTGACTACATAAAGTTGAAAACACTCCATTTATAACTGTCAGGATTGTGATTATAAAAATAATCTCCAAGAAATTAGAAGCAAAAAGCACTAGCATGTGGTCAATACTGTGAAATGATTAGACTTATAGTATGAGTAAGAAGTTTATGTTGGTATAGATTGGGAAATAAACTATTGTTTACCAATAGTTTTGCAATATTTGGGGAAGACAAACTAAGAGAACCTGGAGAGGCTCAGATGGTCTTTTATCTAAGAAAAATACGTGTACATACAAAATCTGCAAATAATTTCAGGATTCAAAATGGCAAGGATAAAATACCAGTCATTAAGAGGGTCATAACAACAACAAAACTCAGAGGCATTAATCATCAAAGTCTACTTGCTGTTGATGGGTGTGTGCTGTACTATACTCCCGGGTTCAGGGAGTCTCTGTAAACTGTATTTCTTTTCACTGATTATCCTTTAAGGAACGTGAAGATGCGCAATTAAGCTTGATCAAATACTTGGCAGGAATTTCTAATATCCAACGACAAGAGGCTCTCCAGTACTTTGGAAATGTTATCCCATTTCTCATCATAATCTTAGCCGACAAATTTAATCTTACCCAACCAAATCCACTCAATTTGTTCAACGAATACTATGAACTGCCGACTGTGCATCCATCATTTTTTCTCTCCCATTTTGCAGATTTGGGAACTCACAGCCAGAAAGGGGGACGGGCGGGAGAGGGGAGGGGAAGGCAACCAGTTTTAAAAGTAGCAGAAACGAGTCTCTTTCCGTCTGACTCGCGTGAACAACACAATCGTGTGCTTTCACGGACCCCTCCGCTGGCCGCGACGGTGCAAACACACCCAGACTCTCGCTTTTAGAAGTGACTTGGAGGACACGGTATCTGGGGAACTGCCAGCGGTTTCTGGTGATTGAGGTCACCCCTACAACACTGGGGTCAAAACTGGTCCCCTAGGGAAGCGAACAAACCTGCTTCGCCCCCTCAGAGAACTCGGCGATGGTGAACTCCTTGTCGAAATAGGCCCAGATAAGGAAGGCGTAAATTCGAGTCCGGACCCAGTTGATGGGGTTGGAGAAGCCCAGGATGATCATCTTGGTTTTCTGGCGTGGCTGGGGCGGCTCCTCGGTGCTGTAGCTGCGCGAGGGACGAGCGGGAAAAGAGGCGAGGGCTGCGGGGAGCGCAGGGCGGCTGAGCAGCGGCCGCCGGGGGCCCCGCACGGGAGGCGCCGGGGCCGCCATCGCCCAAGCGCCGCGGGGACACGGAGCCGCTCCCGAGCCGAGGCGGCGGCGGCACAGGCAGCAAAGTCCGGCCCACGACAGTCTCACGTCGGTGCCCCCAGGAGCTCGCAGCCGCGCGGCCCCGCCAGGCAGCGAACGGGAGAACCGCGGCCGCAGAAACAGCCCGGCGGCCAGCGCCATGTTGGTGACCTTTCACCCCTCTGCTCGCTTGTGCAGTGGCGTTAGGAAGCCGGAGGGGAACCACGCGAAGGGGAGAGCAGGGACCCATCCGGAGCCACGCAGGCCGGTGGCGGACACCTCTAGTGAGCCGGCCCATCCTGGCTTAGCAGCGAGAGGCCCGAGTAGAGGCCCTGGGCTTCCCCGCCTCGCCCTCGGACCCGGCTGCCCTGGGAACGGTCACGGGCCTCGCGGACCTTTTCTTCCCCGGGTCGTGTTTCCGAGCGGAGCGGTCGCCGACGAACGCGCAGACGCCAAAGGTCCCGAGGCCTTCCGGGGACGCCCCCCGGAGCGCGAGCATGGCGGGCGAGCGCCGCCCCGTGCCCCGGCTGCAGGGCGTTTCGCGGGAGCGGTTCCTGGAGCACCTCTATCCACAGGTGAGGACCTCGAGGCGGGAGGACCCTGCCCGCGGCGCCCCGCGGCGCCCGAGGCTGGGAAGCGGGCGGGGAGACCCCGCGGGAGGGGGCCGGCTGGCAGGTCCGTGCTCCCCGGGCCGGCCGCTGGGTGACGCGCGGGGCCCGTGGGCCCACGCCCTGCGCTCCGGAAAGCAGCCCAGCGGGGAACTCGGTTCCGAGCCCCGCGGGGCCCTCCGTCCACCGGCGTGGAAATCTCCCCCAAAACGTCCTTGGTCCTGGGTTCTAACCTTGTCTGTAGTTCAGACTTCAGAATCTCTTAGTTTTGAGTTTTGGTTTTGGTTTTAAATAAGAAAACTTCTGGTAACATAAAGGAGAAGTTTGTTTTTTTTTTTTTAAAGTACATAAAAACAAAAAGTAGCTAGCATTTAAAGGAAAAAAAAAAAAACAACCCGAAGGTGAAAGTAAGCCTGTGGCTGGTTGGACAAAACTGATGGACGAAAAACAAGCAAGCAAACTACAACAACAAAAAATAGTTTTCTTCGTTGATGTACACATCTATAAGAATGGTCTGAGGATTTCAAGTCAGGGATGAACTTTTATTTTTCCCTTTGATAGGTTCAAATCCTGCTGGAGACCATTCAAAGCTTCGTTTATTTTTCAGAACTAGTTCTCTCTGGGTTGCTCTTCCTCAAACCCCATCTCAGGAATGATAGGGATGCAGTATCTGTACTGACAGGGCAGTGTTGTGAAGACAGAATCCTACATTTGCAAGTGCTTTGTAAGATGCACAGCAAGTTAGCCTTCTCTGTCCAGACATAATATATGTGGAAGCATTGCTAAGTTTCATAAAGTATAAAATTCCTACGACTTTTTGTGCTTATAATAAGACTAAAAATTATAACAAAATGGAGAGAGGAAAAAGAATACCTGTTTAGTTTTTTAACATGTTCTGAAAACTCGACCATTAACTCGAGGCATGATAAATGTGCACAAATAAAAAGTAGCAAGTCTGACAGGCACTGATACCTGTGTTTTAATGGTATTCAGGTGTCTGGAGGATATAAAAGAAATGATTAATGCCTTAGGTGTATCTTTGGAGAAAGCATAAAGCAGAAGCAGAACTTTACTTTTTACTTAATCTTCTTTTGTTCTAATACTGTATATGTATATTTTATTTTTATAGTAAAATATTTTTTAGTTTTCCCCCCTTTGGTACCAGTACTAGGGCTTGAACTCAGGACCTTGTACTCTTACTTGGCTTTTTTTTTCTGCTCCTACAAAGATTTTATTTATAAAATAACACTTGATTATAAGCTGTACACCACATATCAGGCTCAGAAAAATTGGTTTTCTATGAGTTACCATTAAAAAAAAAAACCCTCCACACAGCTTTTTGAGACAAACTTGAAAAAGTGCAAATGAAAATTACAACCTTGTAAGCAAATAGCATTCAGACTCATCTCTTACTTGGCTTTTTTAAGGTTGGTGCTCTACCATGTGAGCTAAACTCCACTTCCTATAACAGGTTCACACCTATAATCTAGTTTGGAGGCTGAGATATGAGGATTATCATTAGAAGTCAATGATACTTATCTCCAGCCACTAGAAAAAGCTGGAAGTGGCTCTGTGGCTTAAATGATACAGGGCCCAGGCCCAAAGTTCAAGCTTAAGAATAGCCAAAAACAAAAATAGAAAGTCCAACAATGACACTCTCTATATATAGTTTTTTTTTTTCAGGATGGAAAATGAGTATATATGAACATGACATTTCAAAAGTCACTGAGTCAAAAATATTTTTAATATATTGTTCTTGAATAGTTCTAGCTTCACACCAAAATTGAACAGATGGTACAGAGATTTCTCATATACTTCCTGCCCTCACAGTATGTAATATCCATTATGTTTCTCATAAGAGCCTACATTGACATAATTTTTACTCAAAGTCTATAATCTAAAGTTCACTCTTGGTGTTGTGCATTCGCTGTGGTTTTAGAAAGTTCACTGCACATAGACACTGTTACTGTAGTAGTTTCACTGCTTTAACGGTGCTAACTAGTCATTCATAAAACAATAAATATACCATGTACAGCATGGTATATTTATATACCATTTATATACTTGTTCAAGTATATCCCAAATGTAAGAAAAAGAAATCACACGAGTATTAGAACAGTAAATTCCTCTAGGTCTGTTGGAAACCTTTTCTATGACTCAAACTTCAGGTATAGTAAAAAGTTACAGTCTAAGAGATAGTAGAAGAAAAACAAAGGAGGGGGTAACAATGCTCGACAGTTACTCATGTAACTGTAACCCCTCTGTACAGCATCTTTACAATAAAAAAAGTTGCAGTCTGACTACATGAAAATTTTGCATGACAAGCACTGTAAATAAAGTTGAAATAACAAATGGAAAGAAAGTATTTGCAACATAGATCTCATAAAGGATTGTAAAAAGACCTTGTATTACAAAGAACTTTTAAAAGGAGGGGGTGGGGGTGGGGGAAAGCCAAAACTGAGCATTAATTGAAAAACAAAACAAAAAACTATTAAGATAGTCTTTAGCCATTTGAAAGGATAGTCAACTTTAGGAACTAAAGTTGACTAAAGTTACACAAGTACTATTTCTTACCTCAAATATTGGCAAAAATTAAGCAATTTTGAAGACAAGCTATTGGTGAAGCTATGAAGAAACTGCTGTTCCCACATTTTATGCCAAGTGATTTAAACCTTTATACAAATATTAATAAAACTACATGTATTTAGTTTACTTCTAAGCAAATTCTCATTTCAGAATTATCCCTGAAAGCATTTTTCCAAAAATGTTGAACTTAACATTATTGAAATAACCTGAAAGACTACATAGGAGAGTGATTGAATACATTATTGCCTACTTATACTGTACTATACTCAGCAGTTACAAAAAAGAAGAAAGGAGATATCTGAACTGATAGCTGCTATTTTGAAAGTATATTTTTGTACTTTACAAAAAGCAAATCATAGAAGAAAATAAAGCAAGCCACTTTTTACATAAAAGGGTGGGATAAGAAAATGTACTTTTTGAGGACATAGCAGGCAAGAAACACAGAAGTGATAGTTAAGAAATTTATAACATTGGTTATTTCTATGCCTGAATAAATAATAATAATCAGTAAGCATATGAAAATTTAAAATAACAAAACCTTAAATTAGAAAACAAAAAGGAACAAATGAACCTATCCAGAGGAGGGGGAGAAGCAACGGAAGACACTTTTTAACATAGTACTTTGATTGTATATCCTGAACTAGCTGGATACTGGTAGCTTATGTCAGTAATCCTGCAGCTCAGGAGGCCTAGATCTGAGGATTGTTGTTTGAAGCCACCATCCCAGGCAGTAAAACCTGTAACACTTTTACCTCCAATTAACCATCAAAAAACCCAGAAGTGTAGCTGTGGCTTAAGTGGTAGAGTGTTAGCCTTTATCACAAAAACTTCAGGGATAGCACCTAGGCCAAAAATTCACTGGCACCAAAAAAAAAAAAAAAAAAAGTATGGGGAGGTGGGGATGGTGGACTGCAAGCAGACTGAATACTAGATAGTGGAGGAGTTGCTCTGTGTGTGTGTGTGTGTGTGTGTGTGTGTGTGTGTGTATTGGTGAAGTCAGACTGAATACTAGATAGTGGAGGAGTTGTGCTGTGTGTGTGTGAGTGTGTGTGTGTGTGTGTATTGGTGAAGTCAGACTGAATACTAGATAGTGGAGGAGTTGCTATGTGTGTGTGTGTGTTGGTTGCAGTCAGGGGCTAAGCTTTGTCCCTGAACTTTTTTGCTCATTGCTAGCACTTTTACCACTTGAATCACAGCCTCACTTCTGGCTTTTTTCTGGTTAGAGATAAGAATTCTTTCCCGGTCTGGCTTCAAACTACATTGTCTAAACTTAGCTTCCCAAATAGCTAAGATATAATACTGGTTAGCAGTTGCTTTTTACAGTGGCATGATCTAAAAATTCTGAAAGTACTTTCTGTATATTCTTGGGCTTTTCAGATGATTAAATATTGAGGATAATGGGAATTAGGTTCCTCACTGTTGAAAAAATTATGAATAATAATAAAGAGTAAACATTGAAATATGTGCAATTTGTGCATTAAGTGTATATGTGTATGCATACATGGCTGTGTGTTTTGTTTATTAAAGGTTGTGTACACACATGAATTTCTTAGTTCTGACTGCTGAATAAGTAGAAGTAATGATATTCAGTTACACATTCCCCATTTAGAAGAAACGAGAGCTACTTAAAGAGATGGCTGTTTGCAGGACTGAGCACAGAATGTACAAAAGAATACTGGATTGTTTTGTTTCACTGTAAAGTAAGAAAGTGTTCAGGTTAAAAAGTCCAAAGGTTCAATCAGCCTAATGCAGCCTGGCTAAATCTGAGATAATTAGAACATCAAAATTACATTACTAAGGATAAACATGGTGGTATATATCTGTAAGCCTAGAACTAAGGAGGCAGGAATGAAAGGCCTGGGGTTGGAGGCTAGCTTGGGCTATGGAATAAGTCTTAAACAAAATCCTTAGATTTAATAATCTAAGAATAAAATTAATCAATAGAGACATCAGAGCTCACCTTTTAACATTATGGTGTCAAGTAATGTAGAAGACATGATGGAGTTGAAAAAAATCACTGTATTTTGTACTCATTGTATCACTGTTAATTTCAGATCAAAATTATCATAGTTAACATCTCAGATGGTAGAGTATAATACCAGTTGCCACCTGATATACTCCAGGATGATCACAACATTCTTTCTGTAATACATTCCTTCTGCAAAATGAATAACCTGAATCTAAACATGAAGAAACTTCTGATAAACTTAATTTGAAGAGCACTGAACAAAATAACTGGCCTGTGGGCTTCAAAATTGTCAGTCATTGACTTATAGAATTGTAACCTCTTTTTGCAACTACATTTTCTTTTTTTTTTAATGGTAGATATGGGAGACAAAGATAGAGGGGGGGGAGGGGGGGAAGGACAGACTTAAAGAGACATGGGCTGGGCGCTGGTGGTTCACACCTGTAATCCTAGCTACTCAAAAGGTTGTTGGTATCTGAGGATTGGTTCGAAGCCAGCCCAGGCAAAAAAGTCCCCTTGAGACTCTTTTTTTTTTTAAATTTTATTTTATTTGTGAACATGCTGTACAGAGGAGTTACAATTACATGGGCAGGATAATGCGTACATTTCTTACCAAGCATTGCAGCCTCCTCCTTTGTTTACCCTTCACATCCCTTCCCAGCCTCCCCTGTCCCCCCCAATCCCAATCCTTCTCCTTCCCTTGAGACTCTTATCTCCAATAAACTACTCAAAAAAGCTGGAAGTGGCTCTGTGGCTCAAGTGGTATAGTGCTACCCTTGAGCACAAAGAAGCCAGGGACAGTGCCCAGGCCCTGAGTTCAGGATGGGGGTGGGGGCGGGAAGGAGAAAGGGAAGGAGGGAGGGATGGAGCAGGGAGAGAGGAGTGAGGAGAAAGAGACACACATATGGCAAATGAACACATTGTAGCCTCTGAGGATGAACTCTAGACCAGGAGAACAAGTAGCTAAAGAAAATTATTGGGATAATTAAATCTGAAGGGGACTATAGATTGCATAATAGTATTAACTCAATGTGAAACATAATTTTGATAATTACTCCATGGTTTTGGTAGAGAATGTCGGTTTTCTGAAGGTGCACTCAAGTCTTTAGAGACAAAGGAGCATGACGTTGGCAATATTTCCCTCTCTAAAAATTGTATGAGAGCAAATGATAAAGCAAATATGATAAAATGCTATTCCAATTTGGCTTAGGTAATCCACTGTCCATTTGCAACTTTTTTAGAAGTCTGGAATAGTATCAAAACTATTTTGTAACCATAAGAAGTTACAAAAATGTTTGACTTAGAAATACAGTATTTTTATTTTTAAGATGAAAATAACTTTAATATTTGGATTTCTCTCGTGTATTGATGTTCCTGTTCTGATTTTTCTGTCTTAAAATTTTGTATAAGCATATTACATGGATCCTCTTCCCACTTAAGTCAAAAGCGTTGAGTTTGAACATCTTGGTATCAAGAATCAAAACTTATCCCCGTTACCAAATACAACTCCCAATGTAGTATTGGTTTTCACACATACATACTCACACAATTTGTTATTATTTTTTCCTTGCAGAGAAAACCACTTGTGTTAGAAGGAATTGATTTGGGGTCATGCACAAGCAAATGGACAGTGGATTACCTAAGCCAAGTTGGAGGGACGAAAGAAGTAAAAATTCATGTTTCTACAGTTGCACAGATGGACTTCATTAGTAAGAATTTTGTATATAGGTATCTTCTTCTGAGGTTTACTTTTTGGGATGCAAATAACTTTTTAAACTTTAAAAATATTTTTACATTATTATGCAAAGACCATATGGCATTTTAACTTTTGGCTAGTTTATGTAATCATGCTTACTGACTTCTTTTTGAGAGTAGCTTTTAAAAGACAAGAATTCTGAATTTACATAATTGTACAAAGACATTTCCAAAAAAAATATTTTTATGCCTAATATCTTTGGAGCCATGAAAGAGAACTTCAATAACTAGAGGTTGAGCTGAGATTGGTTGTGTTGTATACATTCAGTGCTGAATTAATTTATTTATCTATCCCATTAGTAACTTACCTGGAATAGAATACTTTCTAATAGGCTCTTGTTTTATATATCTTCCCTTTCTAGAAATATAGGTACAGCTTTTTAAGACTTAATTGTGCTTAATTTTCTCTTTTGTTTAATATTGAATATCTTTAATTTCTCTCATAGTTGCTACTTTATATTGTGGTGTCACAGAAAAATGTATAAGAAGTAGTAAAAAACTGCTAAATTTCTAAACTTGAAAACACTAACTTGATGTTGCAGATTTCTTATGCTATTTATTCCCATGAGATTCACTAAAAATGTTAAATTGAAAAATAACTTCCAAGTTTTGAGTTTCCAACAAATTAAATCTATTGAGAAACCATGTAGTTAACCAAAGGCTTCAGTTTAGAGATGAGCTACACAGAGTTTCCAGTGTCCTGGGCTGTTCCTTTCTCATTAGAATTCCCCAAGTTTCTGTAGCAGCTGCCAAAGCACTTCTCAGTTTCAGTGCTCTGAATACTTATATTATAGTTTGGGTTTTTAATAGGTCATGAATTAAATCTAATTGCTGTAGGGTTTTCCAAGTGTATGAACTTTTCACTTCTCATTACATCAAAAAGTGGAAGAAAGTGTTGGAGTGATGAGTGTTTTCAGCCTATAATTAATGATGTTTATTTTCCAGTATCTAGTGCCATAATAAAATTTCATCTTGAATTGCCTTGGTGTTTTCTCATGCCTTTTAAACTTTTCAAACATATATTGTGTTACAGATCTATGCTGGCTCCCTTAAAACCTTTCACTGGTGCTACTAGAAAGCTGAAAAATTACTGCTTTAGAAAACAATAACTTTAATTCTTTATAGCATTTAGTAAGCCATAGGAAAGGGAGGAGATCATTAAACCAGCGATACTAGAAACAAATTCTGCAGACACATCCACTGTTAAATCAGTTCAGTGTGAGGCTCCTTTCTTTTTCAATAAGACATCTGAAGAGGGGTGCATTAAAAAGTCTCACGCCTGTAATCCTAACTACTCAAAGGCTGACATCCCATTTGAAGCCAGCCCAGGCAGGAAAGCCTGTGAGACTTTTATCTCCAATTAACCACCAGAAAACCAGAAGTGGCTTTGTGGCTACAAGGTGGTAGGGTGGTAGCCTTAAACACAGAAGCTCAGGGGAACAGCACCCATGCCCTGAGTTAGAGCCCCATGACCCACAAAGTTTTAACTTTAATGTTTTTCTTGTTAGCTCTGGATACCTCAACAAAAGAATTGGGTAGTGAAAGAATGCTGTTAGTATCTTCTAGTCATATGATTCATAGCATAAAACTAGTAAACATAAGCTTTACTTGCTTTACCCTATTGCATCATGAAATTCTGCCATCATCTTCCTCTTGTTTATAACACTGTCATCAATCCTGATCTGGATTTTGTAAAGAAGTGATTCCAAAATGGGAAGCTAGGCACTGAAAGGTTTTTTTTTTTTATGTTCTTTTAATGTTGATGATTGCCTGCATGCTGCTGAGGGTACATTATCGTTGTTACTAACCACAGCATCTATCCTTCTTGAACACTTACAGTATATCAGGCACTGTGCCAAACATTCTATTTCTAATTTTAAACACAAGGCAATCTGTGACGTAGCTTTATGATATCATAGATGAGTAAGCAAAGGTTTAAAAATATTAAGTCATATACCCAAAGATGTAATTTAAAGTGATAGAACTCAGGATGTATACTCAAATTTGCCTGACTCTACAGAGTCCTTGATAACCCATATCCTCCTTTCAGTACTCCTTTGGTCTATGCTAACCCAGTCACATAGCACTTTAATAGAGGGTACATGGGTAGATAAAATCTTTAAGCCAAAAAACTTCCCAACTTATATTCTTCATTTCCTGTCCTCCATGGGGACTAGTGATTCGTAGAAGCTATGATGGTACTACTACTTACGGGGAGATTTCTGGCAACATCGCAATTCTGCTTCTTTGGCCTGCTCTACTTTATTTGTTTGTGCAGTCTTAATATTCTGCCCTGTTTTCTGTAAAGGTTTTGGGACACTTCTCCCTACTAAGATAAACCTGTTAAACCAATTATACATGTAGTTCTGGGCCATATATAAGGCTTTCTTCTGGCCCGAACTCTTCAAAGATTCTTTGGTAGGAAAGAAGGTTGTGTACATAGTGATGCCTGAGAAGGAAAATACTGAGTAGGATGATGTTAAGTAACTTTATTGATGTAATTTGTGAGAAACTAGAGTAGGAAACTTGGCTCTTTGCATTGGTGTGTATGGATTGTAGACTCCACTTTTCTATGCCTGCAGTGCTTGCTTTCCCTAATTACCAGCAGTACCTTCTGGTGCAGATGGACATTCACACTCAAGGGCCCACTAGTCCAGAACCTTGATCAGATTCACTTAACTTTTCAGAAGAATACAAGGCAGGAAGTAGTATATGAGCAGGATAGTTTTAGTAGGAGTCTTTGTATAAGCCCAAGAGCCATTTATTGGTTTACCAGTTGATGACTGAGTTGTAAAGGGACAAGATTATGAAGGTGGTTCTGAAATATATGAGAGTTTAGATAAAAAACATGGTCCCCCAAAATCAATGAATAACCCATGAGCTGGGTGCTTCTGGCTCATGCTTGTAATCCTTGCTACTCAGGAGGTTGAGATCTGAGGATCACTGTTTGAAGCTAGCCCAGACAGTAAAGTCAGTGAGACTCTTATCTCCAATTAACCACCAGAAAACTGGAAGTAGCACTGTGGCTCAAAGTGATAGGGCCCTAGCCTTGAGCAAAAAGAACCAAGGGACAGAACCCAGGCCCTGAGTTCAAGCTCCACCACTGACTCCCCCTACCCCTGCCAAAAAAATAGTCCATGAACACAGCTAGGTTTCTCCAAGGAATATATCACAGTTTGAATTACATAGCATACATGAAAGCTACCTTCTCTGCCTTTTATATTTAGTCCTAATAATCCTCTTGATATTTTTTGTAGTATGTTTTTTATTGTAAAAATGCTGGAGAGGGGTTGCAGTTATATGAGCAAGGTAATGAGTACATTTCCTATTGAGCATTGTTGCCTCCTTTGTTTTCCCCTTGCCATCCCTTCCCTCCCACCTCCACAACTACCTTCCCCGCTCTTGATACTTTTAGGCCACTCACATAACTTCTTGTGCAGACATAGTTCACTAACCAAAAAGGACTTTTACTGTGAACAGTGTTGCCTAGTATCACATTTATCTTTACCCAGTGCCAGGAGAAAGTAAGCCAGTCTCAGGTCATCTCATAGAAGACCATCTGCTTCCCATCTCCCCATACAAAGTTCAGTTTTCTAATAAGACAAAAATTACAGCTCTTTAATCATATTTGAGGGCAGGTATGCAGTCAAGGAGCAGAGGAAAAGCTTTGGAGGATATCCTTGTGTTACTGATATGGTGATCTCTTCATCTCTTCTGAGTCTAAAAAGATGAAAAGATGGGACAAGAACTGGAGAAAAGATAACTCTCTAGAATATGATATAAAGGAAACCCTGTTTCCCAAGATGGAAATAGGCTTTGAAACAGAAATTTGACATTAAAAATTGATGACTTCACTTGAATTCTTGAGCTATTTTCAGAAGCCTTAACACAACAAAGGGTACAACACGAGTGCAGTGTTGTGGGATGGTGCCAGAAGGTAGGACTATAGGGCTGGTGGTTGGCTTCATTGGACCACATTTGTCTACTTCCTTTCCAGTGTCACACTAGAGACTCAATTCATCACATGATTTGCTTTATGACACTTGGAAACAGGTAGCAGAGCCTAGAATTTTGTATAATTCCAAAGGTAATCAGATGCCTTAGCAACTTTTTTTCCATCAGTGACAGGATAGAAGCATATTTATTGACCTATAGTGATCCATCTATAACATTAATTTAAAATTCTTTAATTTTAAAATTTCACATAATTTAGGTCAAATAGGCATACTATTTAAATGAACTTTAAAAACTGAGAATTCTACATAATATGGTAATAACAAAAGCTATCAGTATTGTAACGCAGATGATACCCCACTGCAATGAGTCTGTATGTATAATGACTATATTATTACTAGTTGATCCACAATTACCAAGTCTAACAATTCTTTTATGTTTATTTCAGAACTTTACCTTTTGACAAGTTAGTTCAGAGGGCCGCTGAAGATAAGCATGATGAATTCTTCATTTCAGAGGTAACACTTTAGCTTTTTTGTTATTGTACTCAGTACTGGGATTTGAACTCTGGGCTTTGTACTTGCTAAGCAGGAGTTCTACCATTTGAGCCATACCCCCAGCCCTTTTTGCTTTAGTTATTTTTCAAATAGGGTCTCACATTTTGTCTAGGCTGGCCTGGACTGTGATCTTCCTATTTACCATTCCTGTGTAGGTGGTATTATAGCACATATCTCCATGCTTAGTGTTTTATTGGTTGGGATGGAGTCTTGTGTACTTTTTTTCTTGGGCTGACTTTAAACTGTGATCCTTCCAGTTCAGTCTCTCGAGTAGCTAGGATTATAGGCATGAGCCATCACATCTAGCTGCTTTTACACTTTTCCAGAAAGCATTAATATCTATATTAGAAGTGGATTTTCTTATAAAAAATCTTTGCATATTCAAGAATTAGTCTGTGATAGCCATTCTTAAGATTTGGTTTGATATATAGAATCTAGCTCTACTATTTACTAGCTCTCACCCTTTGGCCATATTGGAGACAATATGAATTGGAGACAATAATAGTATATCATATGGGTTTTGTGAGCATTAACTGCATTAAATTTGTAAAATATGCATAAAATACTTAGCAGTGTGTCTGACACATAGAAACATTAAGTGTTATTAATACTACTTCTTTTGAAAATATTTTTGTTCAATATGCCAAAATTAAATACTAATGGAAATTTTCATTCTTTAATCTTTTTCTATATTTTATTGTTAGCTGTTAATTTTTGAGTATTTACTGTAATATTGATTCAAGATTGAATTACAATAATTTTTATATTATAGTCCAGCTTTAAACAATTCAGTTTAAGCATATAGAGATACGGCATTGAAGTTTACTTATGTCTTTTTTCAGATTCACTGTGTTATTTCAAAACCATATTTCAAACTAAACTAAAGCCTGGAATGAAGCCTTATCTGTACTTGAACCAGCTGTGCAGATTGATCAGCCAGTGGTTATACTTGATTACTACCAAGAACCTTACAAACTTTGCGGGTCTGCAGTGTAATTTCTTTTAAAACTGATTCTCATGAGGTTTACCTGAGAACTGTTCTTTTAACCTCCATAGCCATGCTTTGAACATCTATGTAGTTGCCTTTAGGAACTTTCCTCTTTGAGGGTAATGAGTGGCAGAGAGTAGAAAAGAAGACCTAGCTCAGTGATAAAGCACTTTTGTATAGCATGTGCAAGGACTTGGGTTTGAGCCCCACCACCACCAAAAATTTAAAATTAGAAAGCAGCTGGCTCATGTCTGTAATCCTAGCTACCCAGAAGGCAGAGATTTGAGAGTTGTGGTTCGAAGCCAACCCAGGCAAGAAAGTCTGTGAGACTCTTTATCTCTAGTTAACCACCAAAAAGCCAGAAGTGGAGTTGTGGTTCAAGTGGTAGACTGTTAGCCTAGGGTAAAAAAGCTCAAGGAGCTGAACCCAGGCCCTGAGTTCAAGCCTTAGGTCAGGCACTAAATAAATAAATAATTGGGACAGACTCTAAATAAACAAGCAAGCAAGTCGTAGTACATGCCAATAATCCTAGCATTTGAAAACGTAGGTAGGAGGTTCTAGTCTAGCTTGGGCTGCATAATGAGAGCTTGTCTCAAAAAACAAAATAGACCAAAAAGAACAAAGGGAAAAAAAAGAAATATAGGCTGAATATAGGATTAAACCTAAAAATTATACAAATATGCAGATAAGATATACATGGATTGTCACTGCAGTCATCTGGAAATGTATATCTGGGAATATTGCCTGTATAAGAAAGGAGCAGGAAGCAGAATTATGCAGGGGAATCCATGAGACACAAGTGCACATCTGACAGTCCTTTCAGCTCACTGTGGATCTCTGAGTAGACTCAGTAGAGTAGTTCTCCTTAGGTGGCAATGGCTATGCCCTTTTCACTATTTGGTTGGACTTTTCTTGGTTCAAATGCTAAGGTGAACTCAAAGTGAACAGTGAACAACTTGCAGCCCCAAGTTAATCACACACTTCAATTAAGCAATGGGTCCATTCACGAAAGGGAATCTGAACAGTTCATCTCTATCTGCTACATAGACGTATTTTTTTAAATCCTGAAACATTAAAGCTGACAGTATACTATCAGGGACTATTTTTAGCAAGGAATAAACTCGCAGAATCTACATGAAAAAAAAGTTGAGAGTTCAATAAAGTTTATGATAACAGAATTATATTTTAAGGTAAAACACTTTGCAGTTTAAGACAGTCCGTACTGGTTTCAAAGAGGTAGAATTCTGTCTTTGATATGCCAGTTCTCTTTTTAAGAGTGTTTATTTTAATTTTACTGACTTGATATATTTCTAATTCATACATGAGCTGACTTTTAAGGATTTGGTTTGAGAATTATTTTGTTTCAGGATAGGCTGACCTGATAAAATACAGTGTTCTAAAGTTATTTAAAAAATTGTTAAAAACTGTATCTTTTTTTATACCTAAGAAGTATATTGTTGACCAAAGGAGTCATTTTATTAAGTGTTAAGACATTGTTAAAAGTGACTCAATAATTTGGACTATAAGGCTAAATTAATCATCATGGCTTTCAATGTGTTTTTGCCTTTAGACTTTATTTTCCTTAATGTTTTGTGGAACAAGTCTACAGTAGGCAACATTTAGAGACATTTCTTCTCATGGCCACCAGAGAGCATTAGTAGAAAGGACAAAATAACTGTACTAGTTAGAAAAGGACTTTTAGCAGGTCAGATTTAAGATTTTATTTCTTCTTTCTTAATATTTTTAAATGGATTTTTTAACATTCATTTAAATGTTATTTAAATAATGCTAATGTTATTTTTCTTTTAAGGATGAGAAATACTATTTACGGTCACTTGGAGAAGATCCTAGAAAGGTAAGAATGTGTATTTAAAACAAGAAGTTAAAAACTAAATGAGTATACTTACAATGTAATGTTTTATACTTACTGACTGGTACCTCACCTGTTTCCTCCTCTCCTTTTCTTAATGATTTGTGCCCCTCTATAAGAAGTGAGATTATTGAAAAGTAAGTACTTAGTCTCATAAAGGACTATAGAGTCTTAGTGTTTAAGTCATTTAATTCGTATATAATCATAAATCCCATATATATGTATAATCCCACATGTCAATAATATTTGTAATACAGTACATAAGAAATCCCATATATATGTAATATATAACATATATAGTGGGATATATATATATGTGTGATATACATTTAGATGTTCAGTCATATAATAATATTCCAAAAAATAATTATAAAAATCCTGAATGATGCTAGGTTCTGGGCTCACACCTGTAATCCTAGCTACTCAGAAGGCTGAAATCTGAGGATCACAATTCAAAGTCAGCCCGGGCAGGAAAGTCCGTGAGACTCTTACCTCTAATAAATGCCAAAAAAGCCAAAAGTAGAGCTGTGGCTCAAGTAGTAGAGTATTAGCCTTGAGCAAAAACAGCTCAAGGGCAGTGCCCAGTGCCAGAGTTCAAGCCCCAGGACAGGCACCCCCACAAAAAAAAAACAATAAAAAAGAAAAAATCCTAAACCATTCACTATCTAAGCTTTAGAGTAGTTGACAATTGTTTAAATCTTGCTTAAAGTAGGGAAACACTTTCTGTTAATGAAGTGTATTGAGATTATCCGTGTTACTGTTGCCTCTGATTTTTGTCTATTCCTTTATTGGAAAGATCTGTGTTCTTAGGTGGTCACAGAATATCTTAAAGTACTCAACAAATATTGCCCTTTCTTCCTTAATATTATGTAGTCTGGCAGCCATAGGTAGAGTAAGCATTATGCTAATATTGTATGTATTGAAATTCTTTTTGCATCTTATGTTTTATCTAATTATTTATTTTTATATCTGTTCAAATAGGATGTTGCAGATATCCGGAAGCAGTTTCCTTCATTAGAAGGAGATATTAAGTTTCCAAAATTCTTCAGAGAGGAACAGTTCTTTTCCAGCGTTTTTCGAATTAGTTCACCTGGATTACAACTTTGGACTCACTATGATGTAGGCTGCATAAATGAGAACTCTGAATCTTCTGTAGATCCTTAGTATTTGTGGATTTAACATTCATGGTTTCAATTTAATAAGCTGCTTTGAAACTCTTTTATATGTAGTTTGTTTAAACACAGTTTTAAAAAACACTGAATAAAGCAGCAATAGGCAAGTGAATTATTTGGCTAAGGGCAAAGCCTTCATTTCTCACATTTACATTCCTCTGTAATCTTGTTCTTGATTTATCATCATATGAATTTTATGAAGTGGTTGTTTCTGGCTTATGATAACTACAGAAGGAAGAGGGAAATTTATATTGTTTGCTTATGATAAGAGCATGTGTAAGTGATACATAGGACTCTGGCCACCCTCAGTTATGTTGCTTAGGTTAGGAGAAAGGCAGAAGCATATGGAAAACTATTTCCAATTTGAAGAATTTGAGGATATTTGGCAGTCTTGCAAACATCAAATTCTACTGTCTTTGTAGAGCAGCAGGATGTGTAGAATTACCATCTTGATTATGGGTTATATTAGCTTAAATATATGTAGATGTAAATATTATTGTGTATAGGTTAGTGTTGAGAGATAAATAGGAAGCTAAATAATTTTAACAGATTTTCAAAGATAAAATGCTTTTTCAAAATTGTAATATTTGTTCTTTTGAGACAAGTTCTTACTGTGTAGCCCAGACTGGCCTGGAACTTGTCATCCTCCTGCTTCAGCTTTTTAAGTGCTGGGATTATAAAAGGTGTGCTGACACCTCCCCCAGTAAAAGTAATTTTTTTAACATTCTGAATCATACTCTTGGTTTTTATATATGTTGTATGTATGTATTTTATAATTTATTTAAAGACCTGAGGAGGATTTTATTATTACAGTAGTTCTATAATTAAATAAGAGAGGCATTTTGCTTTTTTAGGTTTTACATGAATGGTAGGGTGAGGAAATGATGTGGTGATTTGTGTAAATTAGGCTATATTTTATGACTGAGTTTTAAATTTTAAGTAGTTTCCCTTTTACCTTGAGTTATAATAGAAAATAAGATATAAAGCTTTTCTTTAAAAGGAACACTAGTTGTAGTTATGTAGCTATAGTTTATATAAGTTTATATAAGTAAAGATCAGAGCTAACAGTAATTCTCCAGATGTAATGATATATGGATAATCATATTGTGTCCATTGTATATCTTAATTCTTTAGCTCAGAGTAATATGGCTTCCCTTGTAACATTTTTCACAATCTGTACTAAGAACTTGTACCCTTGCATATACAGGAAAAGTTAAGATTAATCCATTACAAATTATATTGTCAGATCATCTTCCTATACAAATAATTTTATAACCAATATCTATAATTAAATTATGATTGGCATAGAATTAAGAATGTTTTCAGTCTGTTGTCTAGAGTTGGTCTTGTGTTTTTAGATAGTCACATCTAAATATGTAAGTATGTATTAATGAAGAATCTCAAAAAACCTTAGCTGTCCTTACTTCATTAGGTAGAGCAAAACACTTATAGTTCTTCCCTTTTTAAGGAAGTATTACAAAAATGTCTTTAATAAAGTAATTATTGTTTTTGGACTACAGATGTTTTCATTATTAAATTAGAACATAGTTGGTAATTTTAGGTATTGTTAAGTTTTATAAAAGAATAAGTTTTATAAAAGAATAAGTTGAGCACAGTGGTACATATTTATAATCCCAGCTACTCAGAAGGCTGAGATAAAAGTTTGAGTTCAAGGCCAATGTCAGAAACATAGTGAGATGATGTCTTTAAAATGGGAAAGGGTTACAGTTAACTGGAATATTATTGGTTGTTAATCTGAATTTTAGACACTGCTTACTTGTATACTTTTTTATTGGTCTTTAGGTAATGGATAACTTCTTAATACAAGTGACAGGGAAAAAACGTGTTGTATTATTCAGTCCTCGAGATGCCCAGTATTTATATTTATCAGGTATGCCTTTTTAAAGTTTCTTTCTAAATCCTATTCAGTTACAGTTAATCATTATTGATATTTTTACTATTATTGGATTTTTTTTTTCCTTGGTGCCAGTCCTGGGCTTGAACTCAGGGCCTGGGCATTGTCCCTAAGCTTTTTTGCTCAAGGCTAACATTCTACCATTTGAGCCACAGCTCCACTTCTGGCATTTTTGGTGGTTTCCAGAGATAAGAATCTCAGGGATGTTCCTCACTTTCCTCAGATCACAGCTTCCTGAGTATCTGGGATGATAGGCATGGACCACCATCACCCAGCTCAGTTACTCCTTTTGATGACTGTTTATTCACATAGGGAGCAACATCTTATACCACTTTCTCCTGATAAAATGTTTTTCATTGATGTGTGTGTGTGTGTGTGTATATATATATATATATATATATGCATATATATATATATATATGCGTATATGTGCACTGTGTGGAGAGTGAGATTTTCAGGTTAGTTTAATTACATTACATGGGTGTCAAAGGTCACCCAGAAAACCTCAGAGTGGGTTATTGAAAACTCTCTTGGATCTCAGGAGAATAACCATTGTTCTCACAATGTGAGTAAATTGAACAAAATTTTCAAGTTTATGATTTTTTTAATGCTCAGACTTTTTTTTGTGTTTTTATAATTCCTTAGGTTCTAAATCTAAAGTATTGAATATAGATAACCCAGACTTGGCTAAATACCCACTGTTTTCCAAGGCTAGAAGGTATGAATGTTCCCTTGAAGCTGGTGATGTGTTATTCATTCCTGGTAAGATTTTTAGATCTCATTTATAAATGAGGCTTCATCTTATAAATGTGTTTATAAAATATGTATTCTATCACTAATCTTTTATGTGATTTTCTTAATACAAAAGTGCTAGATCATTTTTATACATGATTTTGTTCATGTATGTGTTTAAAGTATACTTAGGCAAACATAAGATTGTCTTATTTCTCAAGAGCAACTTACTACAATTGTGCATTATATTAACAGTGATAGTCAACGACAGATCACATAACAGTATCTTCATAAGATTATAATGGAACTGAAAACTTTGTATCACATAAGCCATCATAACCTCGCACAAAACATTGCTTATAAGCTTGTGATGCTGGCATAGCCAAACTTAGTAGCCGCCAGTCACAAAAGTGCAAGTCATAGAGCTACGCATAGAACATGGTATTTGATAATGGCCATAAACTACATAATTTCTTCATCTATTAGAGTAGGTGTTTGTTGTTTTACTTGTACTTATATTTTTGTGTACATGTGTTGATGCCAGAGTTTGAAATTTGAGCCTCCTGCTCTTGCTCAGCTTTCTTCATCTTAACTGGTACTCTACCACGTGAGCTATGCCTCCAACTAGAGCATTTTGCTGTTTAATAAGAAATTAAATCTTACAAACTTTTCTGCCTAGGATGGCTTCAAACTGCCATCCTTTAGGGCTTAATTTCTTGAGTAGCTAAGATTCTAGGCATGAACCATTGGTATCAGCTGCAAAACAGCCTTGGAAGGTTATCTTGGAAGTATTGTGTATGCTGTTATCATAGCAGATGTCTCTTTGTTTCCCTGAAAACCTTCTAGATGGAAAGCTGGGGAGGAAAGAACAGTGATACTCTAGGCACCCTCACCCTGTGTAGGTATAAGTGTGTGTAGGTGTAGGTGAATGTGTGTGTTTCCTAGTTTTTACTCAATGTTTAAAAAGTGAGTAAGTTTTAAAAATAGAAAAAAAGCTTAGAAAAGGGATTTAGAGAAATATATTCATATAGTTACAAAGTGTTTGGAACTAAGTCTTGCAGTGAGTCAAAAAGTTAAAAAAGGGCTGGGAAGGTGGTCAGTGGTAGAGTGCTTGCCTTTCATGCATGAGGCCCTGGGTTTGATTCCTCAGCACCACATAAGCAGAAAAAGCTGGAAGTAGGGCTGTGGCTCAAGTGGTAGAGCACTAGCTATGAGCTGAGAAACTGAGGGACAAAGCCCAGGCCCAGAGCTCGGGCCCTATGACCGACAAAACAGAAAAAAAGAAAAAAAGTTTTAAAAAATCTAGAAGTTCATAAAGAAAAAGGTTACAGTAAACGAAGATTGTTATTAGGGATTTTTAAAGTGAAATTAGTATAGTGTAAATGTACAGTATGGGAGGTGGGAGGAAAAGGGACAGGAGAGAAGATGGGAAGGAGAAGGAAAGGAAAGAAAAAGAAAGGAAAGAAGAAACAGGGAAAGGAAAAGGAAAAAGAAGAAGAGACAGGAAAGGGAGAATAATAGTGTATAGTTACTTTGGGGCCTTCATATTACTCACCAGTTCCCATGGTTGGTGCCCTATGCAGTGTATCTTTTCTTTTAGGACTTACTTATTGTTCCTTTTCTGTATTGAGATAGGTTTATGTAGTTTCCATTGTGCAATAATTATTGTACCTACTATACAAGTTTGCACAATGGAGCCATAGGCTTAGGTATGTTCAGTTTACTTTGTGATAATCCCACAGTGACAAAATTGTTATTCCTCAGAATGCATTCCCTATCACTATGCAGTGAATTACTGCTTAATATTAACATTTTAATACCGACATTGTGTACAGATTTTATTAAATATCAGCTGTGATACTGTTGGGTACATTAGTTTTTTGTACATAGAATGTTTGGAATTTAAGAAATAAGCATTAGTTTGGATGTGTATTAAATGTCCACATCAGTAACCACAGTGATATAATTAATGTCTGTAATTGATATTTAAAAGTAATTAAAGAGTAAAGGAATGCACAAAAATTTCCATTTGTTTAGTTATATTTCCCATAGCTAGTAATCATGAATACCTCTTTTTGGTGATAATTTTAAAGTATTAATAAATAAAAATGTGGAGTTCTAATCTGGTTCTATATTATAATTGAGGAAAAGGAACTATGTGTTTGTTAATCTTTCTATCCCTAAAGGCCTAATAAAAACTTGATGGATTCGATTATTTCTTGTATTCATTGCAAACAACCACTACTTTGGTCTTCAGTATATTGCTGTTTTATATATTTAAATTTTTAGATTTTATATATTTTCAACATGGTTAAGGGATATTCAGTAGTTTCATCTTATATACAGCTTTTTATAAAAAAAGGAAGATAAAACAGGAATTCTAAGAATTTTTATTTCCAAACAAAAGCAAAAGATTAATGTTTGGATTTATCAAAATTGTTAATTTTATTCTACCTATTAACCTGAACCAGGGGAAAAGAATTCTTAAACAGTGAAGTTAAGATTAAAACTGAAGACTATTTTTGCAAATCAAGATATTTTTAGTCTTTCATTTTTTCCTCAAGTATTCTTAGAATAAGCTTGTGAAGTTTAAATCTTCCTTTCACAAGATTAAACACTTTTGACATAATTAGTCCTCCATCTGTTATACTGTGGTATTACCTTAATATTCTTCCAGCACTTACATTTTACAAATGTTTATACTCAACTGAAAACAAAGTAAACTTCCTAGTGAAAATAAAAAATAATTAGGTATATGATAAACTTGAAACATTTCCATTACCAAAATGTATGTTGAAGTTTTATATACAGGAGCTGAAAGGAACATAAGATAGATGTGATTGCATTACAGTGAATGCGCACTTACAGTCAGAAAAGCAAATTGCAGCTTGAACAGGAAGTCTTTACAAACAAAAGTACCATGCTGAATCAGAATAGGTCAAACATACTCCTCAAATAATTGAAATGTTCTGTGTACATAAAAAGTATACATTTTTGATGTGGTTTTGACACAGGAAGCATAAACAAGTACATGCCTCAAATGAAAGAACTTCAAAACAAATACAACTTTATTATGTTGTTCAAGTTAAAAGAAAAAAAATTACTATTCCTAAAGGTTTTCTAAAGTAAGGATTTATGCTATTGACAGTTTAAATTGGTTGGCAATTCATAAAAGTTAAAATGATTCTGTTAAACGCTGAGAGTGTGCTAAGGAAGGGATCTGGTTAAAGAATTATTTCTTAGATTGGCTATATGCAATTCGTGATATTTCACTGACATTTTAGTTTTTTTTTTCAACTGTAGGTTTTATTTTTAACTTGTTTTTTAAAACTTTCTCCAGCTTTATGGTTCCATAATGTGATTTCTGAAGAGTTTGGAGTGGGAGTGAATGTCTTTTGGAAGCACCTTCCATCTGAATGCTATGATAAAACAGATACCTATGGCAACAAAGACCCTGTTGCAGCATCAAGAGCCGCACAGATCTTGGACAGAGCCTTAAAAACACTGGCTGAATTGCCAGAGGAATACAGGGACTTCTATGCGCGGCAAATGGTCTTACAGATTCAAGACAAAGCCTACAGCAAGAACTTTGAATAAAAAAAAAAAATGAAGTGAATGTGGTGAAATAAACATTTCAGTAAGATTTAGGTGGAATACTGGAAAAATATTAATAAATTTTAAAAATACTTATTCTTAAAAAAGGAAAGAAATCTCAGATTAAGTATAAAGGGAAGGTTTATTGTTTCTACTTGATACAAAACGTTAGAAGTTTAAATAACATTGTAGTAGAATCACTGTAGTTTTGCAGATGCAAATAATAGAAGTACCACTCAAACAATAAGACTCTATATTGAGTCATGTTCCATGAAATCTTCTGTTCAAATAGGTTTCATTATTTCTGATCCAGTGATTCAGTAATGTTACCAAAAACTTTTGTTGTTTACCCTTGCTTGCTTTTCAGTCACAGCACTGGCGTCAGCCTGAGGCTGGCTTCCCTTGTGGTCATGGGATGGTTGCCAGTAGCAGTTGGGGCCCTGTGCATCTTCATTTACATGCAGCGGAAGAGTCTGGATGGATTTCAGGGGCCCTGTCAATCTGAAGTTGTCCCAGAATAATCTACCAGACCCTGGGATCTTGGTGCTCTAATGGGCTTGGATTCATATAGCCTTGCTCCAGTCTTTGGCAAAGGGTATGAAATAATACGTAGGTCAGTTAGGCCTATCAGAGCTGGGAGAAAGAATCTTCCTTTGATAGAGCCAAAGTGTTTAATTTTTAAAATCAAGGTCCTGTTAAGAAAGGAAAAAAGGTAGAAACTAAGGATGTTGTCTCCTACATTTGTTGCTGTAATCAAAATCTTTGAGATACTTTTTTTAGATTAAGATGCCTAGGTGTCAACTTGTTTGTAGATTTTTTGAATCATTACACTTGGGGTTTGGGTTAGGTACCTAATAAACCCTGCAGGATGTTTTGGTGCATAACCAGGACTAAGAATCACAAGATTGATTGGTTATAGTGTTTAGATGACTTTCTCTGACTTATCCATAGCATGGTTAATCTGATCATGTTTCTTCTTGTCAACCTATGGTAAATCTGTTTTTCTTGTTTGTTTTGAATGTTTGAAGCTCTCTCTGCTAAATTTTCACCTACCTTTTTCCTTTTATAAAAGAAATACTATATGAAAAGCCCTTAAGAGTTCAAACTCCAATACCATTAAAGGAAAAAATGAAATATTGTTTTAAAAGAGATCTTAGTATTGTCTTTGAAGACAAGGAACCCCATTGTATATATTATTGTTTTGTGTTACAGTAAGTAAAGACCAAATATATTTACTGAATACAAATGTTCCCATCTAAAGTTATATACATTGACTTGGTACATCCTAATAATGGAATAAATAATTTTCTCTACTGAAGATAATCCATTTACTCATGTTCTGTATTTAGAGATGAATTAGTTTCAGGCATAAAAAATATAGTACACAAACAGGAAAAAGCATATAAAATATTCTAACTTTCCTAAGAATCTTAAGAGATGCTAAGTTACTGAGATCAATAGAGGTGGAAAATCTAATTCTTATAAGAACTTCAGTGATCCTTTTACTTCAGAAAGGAAAAAGACAATACCCTTTTTCTTTGCATAGTGTTTATAGTAAGCTTTAATAAACTTGGGTTTTTTTTTTCCTTAACCAGTAAGAAAAATAGTTCAAATCTAAAAATCATGTAGAAAACTTGGAAGTAAAACAGAATTGGTCTACCGAAGATTTTTATTTGGCTAGTGGGAATCAAACTAGGTCGTAAGTAAATTAAACAACTTATGAAGCATGTTTTCATTAAAACAATTCATATATCACAGGGTTGCTACAAAAAAGTACACGTATATAGTTAAGGGTATACACATAGTTGATGACTGGTGCTAGTAATTCTATTTCATTATATTCCTTTACTAAGATATTTGAGGTAGATTCTCTTGGGATATTCTATTTAGAAAGCTAGACATGAATCTTTTGGGAAGTTTTAAAATTATTTTCCTGGTCATAATTCTTAATTATGTTAAAGTATCTTAAGATTAAAATGTTTTAATCTTTTGTTTCTGTGCTAAAGGCAAGTGAATATTATTAACTGCACATCTCATGGAGTCAAAATCTTTTTAATCACTTTTGTTGCTGAAAGAAATCTTCCATAATATAATTAGCCCAGATTGAGATGATTGTGATGGAAATTGGATTTACAGTGATGCCTGTATTAGTGATTTACTTTCCCTTCTGAATAGATACAGGAAGGTTTTTCTTTCCTAATATATAGACAAAGATTCAAAATAAAATGAATGAGTACATGGGAATACAAAAACAAAAACTAGCCAAGAATGAGGAAGAAGTATATGTACTGGCATAAAACTTGTCCACTGCAATTCCATAAAAAGCTTGAAGCTATGCACTGCTATTTGCTTAAAATCAAAGTATGCTCTGAAAACTTATTTACATACAGTTTTGTAAGGCTACACAAACCACTGATGGTGCTGCCGATGAGAAGTGTCTGAATCACTAGGTAGAAAGACAAAACTGCAGTTCTGAATTACTTGAATTTTTGGTCATATTATCCTCTTAAATACACTTTAAAAATAGTGTAGTTGTTAGCTTTTCATTTTTAATCTGAGGTTTTTTTTTCAGTACCAACATTTACATGAACATTTTTAAACAAATATGGGAAACAGGATTGACCAATCGGAACTATTAAAACATTTGAATATGCATTAACTTTAGAACGTTTTAATTTAGAAAATAAATATTTTTACTTTTCAGTCTGTGATGTGATAGCACTCTTAGGGACCCAGTGAATTCTTAATATCCACTCAACTTAATAAATTAAAATTTAAGCTTTCACATAACTGGATAGCTAAAGGTCTGTATTAGAAATATTTTACATTTTAAAGTATATTAAGGCCTCACACTGGCAGGCAATATGCCACTAGAGCCATGTTTCAGTTCTTCATTGTTAGCTTTTCATGAATATTAACAGTGTTTGTCTTGTTACATGAATACACTGGAGTTCTATTCAATACTTACTTTGATGAAATATCAAAACAAGGGGAAAAAAGTGAACAGCCTTTTGTTTCTGTCATCCTTTTGAAGCGGCTATGTGAACATTTGACAAGAAACTAGTAACTTTCACCTTTAAAAGTTGTCAAAAAACAATCTAAGGATCTGACCAGGGTAGAAAAATACAGGAACTTGGCAGGCAGTGTAGAGTTGGAACTGTACTGTAGTGACTACTTCGGGTATCTTAAATAAGTGGACACTAAAGTGAGCATCCTAAGTGACTGCCTGTCTTTATTAACTGGTGTGACTGCTGCCATGTCCCTTGTACCTTTGTAAAAGGGAGCCTGAGTCACCAACGAGGTCTAGTTATATTTTATCCCTAATGAAGTATAAAAAGTAGAAATAAAAAAATTATACAAAGTGTTTCTTGCTTAAAAGGCTCTTAAACAGAATAGCTCTTCTTGACATGTTTTTATAGGAAAGGTTTTCAAAGTTGTTCATTTGAAAGACATGGAAGTTAATGAAAACAAACTTAGCAAGGATGAGAGGAAGAGTCTCCTTTCAAATAATAGTCTGAATGAACAATACTAAGATAAAAGACATTCAAACACACTTCTGTAGACTATTTTAATTATACATTCATGCTGTGGTGGTAACAATTTTCACATTATTTGTAGGACTAATTTTCTCAATTTAAAAGGCACAGTCAAGAGGACACAATAGCATTTACGTTAACAAACAAATGTGGAAATAGGACCAATCTAAACTATTAAACAGAAAACATTTGAATATGGATGGACTCAGAACATATGTTCGTTATGAAAAATACTTTTACTTTCCAGTAACTGTCTTACTGTGATGACATTTAGGGGCCCAGTTAATTAGTATCTATTCAATTTGTAACAAGTGAAAAACGCATTCATATGACTGGATAGCTGAACATCAGATTTTTACAAATATTTCAGATTTTTCAAGTGAATTCTATTACAAGTCCTATCTTAATATTTCAATTAGTCCTGTGAAAATCACAACCTTTTCTTCCTCTGTCCTTTGACCATTCAGTAACTCAGCTATTTTATATTAGATACATGGGAATTTAACGAACTAGTATTAAACAATTTGTTTAACAAAAGCCACCTGATCATAGTGCTAAATATCAAAGTGACTGGTTTTTGCAATAGGAATTTTTGGTGTCAAAAGAGCAGGTATATGAATAAAATGGAGTGATACAGACAATTGCTTTGCCTTTAAAAGTTTAGATACTCTGGTAGTTTTATAGAATTATTTTTAAGCATCTGGTCTGAAAGGATCCTTTATCATAACTATGAATATTTGGAATGTGTTTATAGTCATCAAAATATAATTCTGGGAAGAAACCAAGAAATTTGCATTTTCTGTATTGTTTTACAAATTTAGTTCCTCTTGGTCTTAAGACATTAATCTTATTTTTTCAGCCCTAAAGCAGCACATTACTTCCCTGCTTATTTCATGACCTTCAAGATTATTATTAAGCAAAAAAGTAACTGATCACTTTTTATAATCCTATAGTTATATTTCAAGGTTGGTTGGAATCCATTAGATCTTGGTTTCTCAAAATGTACTTATCTAGGTCAAGAAAAAAACGGGCAGAAGGAAACTTCACCCAAATTATGTAGCAGCGTTAAACAAATTCAGTTTTTGAGCCAACATGAAATCATTTGTCTCTCCAAACTTTTGCTTTTGTAACTTTTCTTATAGCAATGTCACTTTGCATTTTGGCCAAAGGGAGCTATTTTCTTTTGGCAGACAAAGATCATGCTTCTAAAGAAACTGTTTTACGTCTGTGGAATTGTCTCCTTTTCAGTAGAGCACTAACAGATCAGTATGTATTTATTTTACCTAAGTTGGCCTCTTACAAAGACAGCAGCATAGCTCTGAGTGTGTTTTTATTCACCCTATATAATTATAGTCCAACTCATTTTTTTTAAACTGGCTTATGGCCAAGTTTCAAGAAACCCAAGAACAATCAATAAACAACTGACAAAAATTAAGCCACAGTACTTAAGTGTTAGGTTTTTAAACCAACTGCATGTTCTTGGACATTTGTAAATAAAATACTTCAACTAGGAAAAAACAATACTTGGTAACACATCAAGAATAGATCCATGAATGTCAAAGTAGTTAAATACTGTTAAGTCATCAAAATTAGAATGTTACTCAATATGTCAATTATTTCCAACAACTTTAGTTGTCCTTTCAAGACTATATTAAGTTTTTCATTTTTAAGGGGGTCATATTTCTCACAGAATTATCACAAACCATCCTTATAGATCTCAAATTAACTAATCCTAACCTAGCCCAAAGTTTTAAAACTGCTCACATTCACAAGGAATACACATTACAGTCATATTTTAGGAATGTGTGCTTTTCCCACCCCAAAAATTACATCACATATTTCATCATATGAATTTATAACATTCAAAGTGCTCATGCTCTTCCATCGAACAAGTACATTAATATACTTGTAGTCTTAAAATACTTCATGAACCCTGAAGTGATTCTCTATGGAAGGAGCTTCCTTTGCAAAATGAATCTGGCTAGTAACCTGCATACCAAAATCTCCCAGTATCTGAACAAATTTCTTATGCTCTTTTCCAATCCATGATCTCATTGGATCACGTACTTGGTAAGGTGTTACATGGGTATGAACAATAATTCCTGTTTGTGCAAATTCTTTCAAGACTTCTGGAAATGTAACCCAAGTATTGCTTCCTCCAGAATGACCACCATCCAACCAATACATTGTTTTTATGCTTTTGATGAAAGCATCTATGTTCTTGTCTTTCTTGGCTTCTTTTAATTCAAAAAGCAACTGATTCAAAACAACACAACCTTTACTGAATCCAATCAAAGTAAAAGACGTACCTTTTAGTGATGGTGGATATTCACCATCACTTGTGGTTGACTCATCAGATCTTTTACAGGTCCTCTCTTTTTCTACCTGGCAACCATTACTAGAAGAATTTGATCTATAGTCAGATGCTTTGGAGTCCTTATTCCAAACATTCACATTCTTCAACAAACCATTCTGACTTAAGTTAAAAGCATTAACTAACAACATATAAAGGTGCTTAAAAGCTCCAAAGTCAGTATTATGTTCTGGGGCACCAAACATGTTGCTTTTCACAAAGTTGTCATAACAGCTGAATTTGTGCAAATGCATCCGGGAGCACTTTATCACCCAAATATAACTATTGGGGAACCGATGAGCTAAAATGGTGGCAACGTTTTCTAGACTCCAGTTTTCCCATTGATAATTCTCAGGATGACGAGTCATAATTTCATGGTAATTCTGAAAGGCAAGGAAGAGGAAATAAGCATGAAAAATATATTTACATAAAATTATTTCCAAAAAATAGTTCCCCATTTTTATTGTGGAGAGAAGCTACTACATAGCTAATAGCTAATATACCAGAAATGAAAACTAATAATCTCACTGCCTTCCAGTTTTAAGATTTTGAACAAAACAGTCTGCATTTTAAGCCTCAAACCCATTATGAGAAAGTAATAAAACACATTGAATATTAAGAATTTGTATGTCATTTAAATGGATGATATATATATATATATATACAATGTATGTGTACATGTTTAAAATATTTTAATTAACATCAATAACATACATACCAAGTTTTCTAAAACACCAGTAAAAATAAAATTGAAAGTAAAAATTCAGTTCATTACACAAACTTTAAGACAATTTTTTTTTTTTTTTGGTCAGTCGTGGGGCCTGAACTCTGGGCTTGGGCACTGTCTCTCAGCTCTTCAGCTGAAGGCTAGCACTCTACCACTTGAGCCACAGTGCCACTTCGGCTTTTTTCTGCTTATGTGTGTTAAGGAATCGGACCCAGGGCCTCATACCTGAGAAGCAAGCGGTCTACCACTGAGCCAACTTCCCAGCCACTTTAAGACAAATTTTAAGAATATTTTGCTTTTAGTGACCTGCAGTCTTGTACCTTTCCCTCTCTAGGGTTAACAACCTGACTGCTGATTTCTTTTTCTGTGTTTACAGCTTAGGTCGGACTGATTGTGGTGTTAGAAATGAAGCCACAGTGAAATTACAGAAAAATCCTTGTGCCTGTCTGTGATTACATTAAAAGTAAATTCCAAGATATAGAAAAATTAGGTGAAAAATAATTGAAGTTGGTGATAATAGACTACAAAGTTGCCTTCTTTCCTTATTCTTGAGTTTCACAGATACAGGATAACTCATTCAAATTGGATTTACTAAAAATTAGCAATTTATTCATACATTTATTAGTCATCAGGATTTTGTTCTTTTCCCTCCATATCTTTGGCTTTTTTTGTTTATAGATCTTATTTTCAAGACATTTGATACATATTAATATGTTTTACAGCCTATATAAAAATTTTGTTTTCCTTTAAATTTTTATTCATAGTGGCTTTTAAAAGAAATTCATATTTATCCCTTTACTCCTTAAAATTGATTGGATACCTATGGCTTGGGCAAGAAACAAAATGGATTAAGTCCTTGCCAACGTGACACGTTCTATTGCAGAATTAAACTAAATAACTCTAAAAGTAAGTGTAGTATATTTCTTTCCATCAGAAATATGTGAGTCACATATAAACATTTCTAGTAGTGGGCTGGGGATGTGGCTTAGTGGTAGAGTGTTTGTCTAGCATTTATGAAGCCATGGGTTCGATTCCTCAGTACCACATAAACAGAAAAATCTGGAAGTGGTGCTATGGCTCAAGTGGTAGAGTGCTAGCTTTGAGCAAAAGAAGCTTAGGGACAGTACCCAGGCCTTGAGTTCCAGCATCAGGACTGGCAAAAAATAAAAAATTCTAGTAGCTTTATTAAACTATAAAATGTTAATAAGGTAAAATTAAATTTTAACAATATAGTTTACTGTTTTACATTCCTCTAAAATTATTATTTCAATATGCTGCCAGTATAAATAATTACTGGGAAATTATTACATCCTTTTCTTACTAAGTCTGGAATGTACTGTGCATTTCACACCCATAGCACATCTCAATTTGGATGCGAACCTTTCACCAGAAATACTTGATCTGAATTTAGATTTCATAAAATTTTATAGTTGAAAAAATGGATTCACATGCCAGACCATTCCAAGTATACTTAAAACTTTCCCAGTAACTGAGTATAAAATTTTTAAATTTAAATTAGCAGAAACTAAATACATAAAATTTAGTCCTTGGGCTGGGAAGGTGGCTCAATGGTAGAGTGCTTGCTTTGCATGCATGAGGCCCTGCGTTCAATTCCTCAGCACCACATAAGCCGAAAAAGCCAGAAGTAGTGCTGTGGCTCAAGTGGTAGAGCGCTCGCCTTGAGCTGAGTTCAGGCCCCATGACCGACCAAAAAAAAATTATCCTTTGACTAGAATAACAAAATTTCAAGTAGTCAATGGCCACAGTGATTAGTGGCTACCATACTGGACAGTACAAGACATATCAAATAGTAGTACAAGGAAAAGGAGCACAAGGCTTTGAGAGGCAGAAAATTAATGTTAAACACAAAATGGTCAGGAAAGGTTTTTCCAAATAAGGTGACCCTAAAAAAACTGAGGAAGTAAGCCATGTGGATATTTTAAGCAGAAGTCATTACAAAAGTCCCTCAGATAGAAGCATACTGGATATAACCAAGAGCCATGTGACTAGCAAAGTAAACTGGAACAAATGATGACAAAAGATGGTAAAATTACTGAGGAAGGGAGGTGCTGAGCAAATGTGGTATGACAACTCTAAACTTTCGTTTTTGCTCTGACAGGGTTTGGAGCAGAGGTTGATTCAGTCTAAATTTTTAAATGACTCTAGTCCTACATGGAAAAGAGCAAAAGCTTTAGCACGGAGACACTGAAATATCTCCATAAGAGGTGGTTTACATCAGAATAGCAGTGGAAGTGAAGGAGCTGAGTAGTAGTCCGATTTCTGAATATAACTGCGTCAACCTACCTCCTCAGATTGGCTGATGGACTGAATAGAGTGTGGGAGAAAGAGGAATAACAAAATAGTTGGTAAGCTACCATTTATGTTTTTCTAGAAACCTCACATGCATAGAGTATCTCTGAGGGAATAGTGTATGTGTGTATATATACACATAAACATACACATATTTAGAGGGGGGCAACTGGTAGTGTTTGTAAAGGGAAATAGATGAGACAATGGTTAAAAAACTTTTCAATGTACAACCTTCAAACATTGAATTTTAGCAATATGCACACTTGCCTATTAAAAACATAGTAAGTTCAAGCCCCACGACCGACAAAAAAAAATAAATAAAAATAAAAACATAATAAACTTGGATGCTGGTGGCATCTATATTCAAAGATAAAAAGATAGGAAAATCATCTGAGTTCAAGCTCTAGTCCCAGCATACATACACAGAGTCTGCAACTTAGACTACTCCTTATGTGCAATCTACAAAAAAGAGCTTTTTTTTTGTAAAGTTTTCATCCTGTCTGGAAATGATGCACTTACTATCATTGTTGGGGTAGGCCTGTGGTTTCCCATTCTGGCAAAGCAGAAGACAAGAGAATATCGTTTATCTCAGTTGTTTGATGATCTACAGGCCCATCCCATACTACATATTGCTATAAAAGTAAGGGCTAGAGGACTTTTAGGAAAACTTGGTGTATCTACAAGGACCCGGAAACATTCATTATAAAGCTTTAAACCAGGTGGCCAACACAATGACCAGACTGCCTGATAAAGCACAGGACAGGATCAATTATATAACTATATAACTTTTCTCTTTAAAATGACACAATATTATGAATCACTGAACAAACTGTATATCCATACATAGGATATTACTTGGTAGTAAAAAGAAACTAGCTGTGTACGGATAAATTTCAAAAGAATGCTACGTTAAAAAAAAAAAAAAGGTCAGACACAAAAGACTACATAGTTCCAGATTAGTGAAACTCTAGAAAAGGCAAAACTATTGTGAATGAAAGTAGGTCAGTGGTTGCATGGGTCTAGGAAGAGGGAGTTGATTAAAAGGGGCAAAAAATACATATCAGAATGATGGAGATGCTTTAAAACACCACAGTGATAGTGGTTTTATAAATCTAACACCTCTCAAAATTCATCAATTGTAGCTTTAAAAAGAGAGAGAGAGAGAGCTCTGAGCAGGGCTCCTGTGGCTCCTGCCTATCTATAATCCTAACTACTCAGGACGCTGAGATCTGATCATGGTTCGAAGTCAGCCTGGGCAGGAAATGTCCATGAGACTGTTATCTTCAATTAAGCCTTGAGCAAAAAGAGTCAGAGACAGCACCCAGGCTCCAAGTTCAAGCTCCAGGACTTGAACCAAAAGAAAAAGAAAGGAAAGAAAAAAAAGAAAAGGAAAGGAAAGGAGATCATTTTATATCCCAAGATTTCAAGTTAACTCAGAATTCAAAAGCAACAGACTTAAACATACATTCTCATACACCCTCCAAAATCTGATGGTACATTAGAATGTAAGTTATCTAAATGCATATGATTATCTATTGCCTCTATTTTTATTCAAATGATAAAGGAAAATGTATAGAATTTTTTTTAAAAAGCTACACATGGGAAAATGAGCACAAAAGGACTATCAGGAAAGTAATGAAAAAGGATTTAAAATTATTTGGACAACCAGCTTTGATTAATACCAAATATTAAGTCTATGTCAAGATGCAGCAACAAGTTCTGTTTAGACTTAATGTGCTCAAAAGAATTACAAAGACCTAAATGAAGAAATCTGAGCCTGAAATCATTTTAAAAATAGCCAACACGTGTCAAGCACTTAACTGTATTGTTTGAAGCAACTTACATGGATTCATTTATGCAAATTGTCTACTGAACACTTTGAACATGCTAGTCACCCAGCATGGCAGATAGATCAGTGAATAGACATGTGCTTACAATTTAGGTATAGAAAACAGACAAAACCCCAAATGAAAAGTAACAGACAAAATGGATAAAAGTTGCAGGTGAATATGATCCAGGCATATTATATACATGTATGGAAAAAGCACAATGAAACCCCTGTGCAATTAGTATGTGCTAATAAAAATGTGGGGGGGGAGAAATGTTGATAGACTGTGCACACGTATAATCATTGAATAGGTTGGTGTGAAAAGGCCTCACTGAAAGGGAAGGTCTTAAAAAGACTGAATGAGGGGAGGCAACACACAGAGCGAAGTCCACAGGAAGACTGCAGGAAGCTTTGAAGGTGAAGTGTGCCTGATACACCTGAACAATACCAAGAAGCTGGAACTGGGTAAAACAGTAATACTCAGCATCTTGGTAACGAATCAGTGGCCATACAACTAGTATGACAAAGAAAGGGGAATGTTCATTTTCACTTTAGCTCTGATGGTGTCCCATGTCTAATGGCTCATGCCAAGTTTTACATTAAAAATCCAGTTTCCACAACAACATAACCAGAGGTATTTTCATGCAGCTTATGAAATGAATAAGAGATATGCCTTCAGCTATCAAATTACTAATAGAAATGATAAAAGCCTGAGACACAGACAGAAAACAAGGTGTGACAAGGTAAAGGTATTGAAAAGCCTAAGAGACCGCAGACGAAGGGACCAGTTGGCTTTACCTGTCTCACATAACTTCCTGTGAGGACAGGAATGTTCCAAGAAACGCTGTCCACACAAAGAGGGTTCACACGCACCATTTTAGTGACCGAGCACTTGGAATACAACTCGTACCACAGAGAAACCGGACTGTCACTATTCCTGAATTTTAATTACTTTAGATGGTCTCGTGTCTGACGGCAAACATATCACCGTGCAGTTCTCGATGAAAACCCAGCCTCCAGGACAACATAATCATAAATGGGTATTTGCCTGCAGCTATTAGTAATACACCTGCAGCTATTTACACGATACGAGATTGTGTGGGCATCAAAACACGGGCATGGTTAGCAATCACGGCCATCAGCATCACTGCTTTTTAGGGTTACTGAGAATACCATACCACGGTTGAGTTTTTTTTTTTTAATTTTAAAATTACTGTCAGAGTTTGGGGAACGCTGTGTACGGGGCTAGAAGCCATCTCTCGGTACCCTGCCACCACACACACACGCACACGCACGCATACACACGCACGCACACCCTACACGCCCGGTTTGATAGATGGCTCTTTCCAGGCAAGAACCCTTTGACATCTTCCATGGAGAAGGGCCGGGTCCGGGAGTGGAAGGGGCGGTGCGGGAGCTCCGGGGCGCCGCGTGGGGCGTGCCCCGCGGGGACAGGCGTCGAGCCCTGGCAGGCCCCGGGTTACCTGCACATCCCCAGGGAAATAAAGGACGTGATGCTGGGGCGCCGGCGGCGGCGGCGGCTCCTCGGCGGCCAGGTCCACCGGGAGGCCCCGCGGCTCCGGTCCCTCCCCCGCCGCCGCCAGCAGCAGCAGGTCGTTGCCGCGCTGCGGGTCCGCTCCGGGCACGCTGGACAGCCGAAGACACCGAGGGCGGCGTCCCTCCGCCGACGGGGCGCACCCCGCCCCGCCGCTGCCCCCCGGGTTCATGGTCTGGGCTTGGAGGCAGAACAAGGTGTTTCCGGTCCCGAGCCGGTGCAGCAGGAACAGCAGCGGCGGGACCCGCAGGAGACCGAACCCACACATGGGTGTCCGCTGCCAGGGCGGTTCGGAGAGGGTGGGGGCGGAGGGCGGGACTCCAGCCCGCAGCCCAACGGCCCGCGGAAGTGGCCCGGGCGGGAGCCGGCGCCCGGGGACGGCCGCACCACGGACCGACGTCCCCGCGCAGCGTGCGTAAGGAGGGGCGGGGGTAGCGTGCACTCGCCACCGGGTTCCGAAGGGGGTGGAGGCGGGGGGGCGTGTCCTGGGAGAAACGTTCGTGATTGGCGGATTCACACAGGGCCGGGAAGTTCGAACGGAAGTCTGGGAAGGAGCCCGGGAAAGAACCGAAGGCCCACGCCCCAAGGCAATGATTCTGGCGCATGCGCAACAGGAGGTTCACGCCCAATGTGGCTGCCGGATTGTTAGCAGAACTGACGATGCTGGTGCTTGCGGAGTTGACGATTGGAGTCTGATACTCCAAGGAGGCGGTCTCCATCTGGCTCTTGAGTAGTGAGTGTGAAAAGTGGCTAAAAAAATAATTTTAAGACACATTGAGGTAAAGAGCAAGAATGTTAAGTTCGTAAAGATACAAAGGTAGTGTATACAGCCAATGGGTGCAGGCAGGCCTGATGGCAAGTGTAATGAGCATTTGTGGTGAAAAAGTAGAGTGGGCTTTGATGAAAATTTACCTTAGAATAGGTGCTCCCCTCTCATAGACACCTGTTAATTTTTCTTTTTCTGTTACTCTGTAGCGTGTGTGTGTGTGTGTGTGTGTGTTGGCAATGGAGCTTGAGCCCAGGGTGTGTGTGTGTGTGTGTGTGTGTGTGTGTGTGTGTGTGTGTGAGCAATGGAGCTTGAGCCCAGGTTGTTCAACCACTTGAGCCGTGTCTCCATTTCTGGCCAATTGGAGTTAAGAGAATACCATATTTTATCTTCTTTGGAGCCTCAATCCTCAGATCTCAGCCTCCTGAGTAACTAGGATTATAGGAGTGAGTCACTAGTACCCGACTACATTTGTTTTTCCAGTTGAGCCCCAGAGATATTACTGTTGGCGGGGCCATTAACTTTGGGTAATTGTGACATGGATGTTTGAACATACCTCTAACAAAAGATGGCTTTTCCAGATATTCCTTTAAAAATAGATGTCAAGCCTTCAGGTAGATATTTTCATTTGTAAATACTTTTCATGCTAGAGTAGTCATTTTTTTCAGGACAGTTTTTTAAGAAGACTTTTTTTTCTCTTTAAGCTATCCTTGTTCAGTTCCCAAAATACACTCATTATTTGGTCAAACAGACAAGATCAGAAAAGATAGCTACTCTCCTTTTCCCTTTATTAATGTTGCGCTTATGCAGGAGTGTGAGAGTTAAGATTCTTTTGTAATATCTCGCATCCAAAAGAGACTGCAAGACATTAAGTTAAAGGAGCTAGGAACTTTATTATCACCCCACAGGGATGGCTTCCTACTGGGGAAAGTAGGAGAATGGCCTTGAGCTCAGGGTAGGTTACATAAAGTTACATAGATAAGCCATGCAAGGGAGGTTTGGCAGATTTTCATTTGTTATAGTTAAATGAACTTTAAATCTATTTGTTCTTTATGGTAGATATCATACGTAATAATTTATAATAGGCTACCCATAGTGGGACCACTTGGTGATGGTCTTTAATTGGTGGGCTTAAGGCTGTTATTGAGGCAAGCAAGCAAGGTTACAGAAGCAAAACGTAGCAAAAACATAGCCTTGAGTCACAGGAGCAGAGGCAAAACATAATCTTGACTTGGTCAGCATGACTAATACTATCAATGCTATTGACACTATTACAGAAATTATTTTCATTACAAGCTCCTGACTAATACAGCAACTCAGTGCAGCTGGTGATAAGCCTCAAGGTTGTCAGTAGCCTTCTGCAAAGCTGCTAGCTTGGTAAACTTAAGTAAGGGAGAGATGTTCTTTTGCTTTTTGGCAAGGATGGAGAAGGATCAAAGGCTGACTAATGGTCAGCCTTTGTCTGGGGTTTTTCTTTTCCCAGAGGTTTTTGGCCTTTATCAATAATTTTGTTCTGTTTTCTGCTTTCACATTTTTGTTCCCATGGATATTCTTTTCCTAGGGAAAAGGGGGGTCAGGGGAGAGAGTAAATTTCCAACAGCAGGAGGGCCTGAGGCTAGACATAGGAGGAACTTTCTGCCAGTATATAGCAACTCAGATATTACACTTATACCTGTTTTTTTTTTGGGGGGGGGGGTCCAGTCATGGGGCCTGAACTCTGGGCCTGGGCGCTGTCCCTCATCAATTCAGCTCAAGGCTAGCGCTCTACCACTTGAGCCACAGCACCACTTCCGGCTTTTTTCTTTTTGCTTATGTGGTGCTGAGGAATCGAACCCAGGGCCTCATGCATGCAAGGCAAGCTCTCTACCACTGAGCCACCTTCCCACCCCACTTTTACATGTTTTTAATCAGCCTGTTCATTAAAGTGTTTGTCTCTAAATTCCTGGCTCCTGTTTCCCATGCTGTCCTTTCTCACAATTATCCCATACTGTATAAAGTTTTGAGTGTGCCATGCAGAATTTCCATTTGAGTAGGTTCACCTTTCTAATTACCCCTTATTTAGTTAAAGACATAACTAATTCTGTTCTGTAGAGAAACTCATAAGAAGTCTTCTACATGAATCTTTACCTTTAGTTTCACAAGAACAATGTGAAGTTCCGATTTCTAGATTCTTGTTAGATAATGGTTGGCCCTGGTTGGCAGAGTATATGACCTAGGACAAAAAAGATGGGGTAAAGCATAACTTATTAACACATTTGTTCTGGATACTGTTTGCAGCCAACGGAATTTGCCATTTTAGTGTTTTCAAAACAAATATGAACAGTATAGAAAAATCATAGATATTCAAGAACTATTTTAGAGCTACTTGTGTAGAAACAGAATTTGACAAGATACATTCTACATATACAGAAGGAAGGGAGGAGCCATTATTCTGACTCTGAGAGTTTTAAAAGACAAGGCATTATAAAGAACCACTTGGGAGAAAACATTACAGTTATAAAAATTAAAGCCAACATTGATTGAGGGTTTACTACGGGCTAGAAATCTAAGCCTCTTATATTTTACTGTTCAAAATCATAAGTATTTAATCCTACCTGCTGTTTTCTCTTCTTTTTTTGGGGGGGTCCGGTTATGGGGTCTGAACTCTGGGCTTGGGTGCTGTCCCTCAGCTCTTCAGCTCAAGGCTAGCACTCTACACTTGAGCCACAGCGCCACTTCTGGCTTTTTTCTTTTTTTCTTTTTTTTTGCTTATGTGGTGCTGAGGAATCAAACCCAGGGTCTCAGGCATGCAAGGCAAGCGCTCTACCACTGAGCCACCTTCCCAGTCCCTACATGCTGTTTTCTTTACATACACATATATTAATAACTTTGAGTAGGAACACAAGCAAATAAAAAAATGTAATTGCCTTCTGTATTTTCTTAGTTGGCTTCATAGATGCATAATATGTTCTGATCTAAATTATTGAATTCCATCTGACAAATTAGTATAACCACTAAAAATTATTCAGTTACTGTTACTAAGTAGATCTGCTTTAATAACAGGTTGAAAAATATAATTGAACAATAATAAGAATATAATGACATTAGGCAGCCAGTTTTCACTTTTAGATTTCTAAAAGTTCAAGCATGTACATATATTGTTAAAGCAACTTTGGAGTTTTCAAGTCTTTTCTTTTTTCTTTTTTGTCAGTCGTGGGTCTTGAACCCTGGGCCTGAGTGCTGTCCCTGAGCTCTTCATCTCAAGGCAGTCACTCTACCACTTGAGCCACTTCTGGTTTTCTGGTAATTAATTAGAGATAAGACTCTCACAGACTTTCCTGCCCAGGCTGGCTTTGAACTGCGATCCTCAGATCTCAGCCTCCTGAGTAGCTAGGATTACAGGCATGAGCCACTAGTGCCTGGCTTCAAGTCTTGTTTTTCTAGTTGACCCTTTAATGAAATTTCTTTGTTTTGAGGAGGCAGGGAGTTTTTGTGTTTGGAAAGAAAATTGTAGCAAATATTAAATACAAAATTGTCCTGGTATCTCTAAAATAATTGAGGTCATTGAGAAATACAAGTAAAGGTTTCATGAATAGAACAAAGAAACAGACTAAAGTAGATAAAAAAAAATTTCCCCAGTCAAAATTTTGTACAACTTTAGATAAGTCATTTCCCAAAGTAACAGCACTCTCATTTCATGATTTGAGATGTGTTATATACAAGGTGATGTTGATACTGCAATTCTTTCTCATAGATGCACTTGGTGTTACTGAAGTATTTTTCTCTGTGAATCCCCTAAGGCTTCTTCTAAGAGACCAGTATTGTTTAATCTCTCTTTTCCCAGGAACAAGGGCACTCATGGACTACCACTTTGCCCCTTTTACCCTCTTGCAGAGCTGGGATTTCCATCCCAACAAGATGTACATACTTGTACAAGTTTTGTACATATCCCAAGTTTCGTACATATCCCAAGTTTCTGTAACCAGTTGAGTGAAATTTTCCCTTTCCTAACTGATAAGAATCTCTGCAGTGATTTTTATTGTTAATCTTGTCCAAAAGGCTACCGTCTTGCTTCGTCTTCTTCTTCTTTTTTTTTTTCAGTCATGGGGCCTGAACTCTGGGCCTGAGTGCTGAGTTTCACAGCCTTTCCTGCTAGGGCTGGCTTTGAACCACAATCCTTAGATCTCAGCTAGAATTACAGGTGCAAGCCAATGGTGCCTGCTCAGTCTTGCTTCTTGACAGTTCTGATGGGTTTCTTAGTGGGTTATCAGAATTTTTGTTATGATATTCAATATAATAGGTAGAAAAAGTTGCAAATTTGAGAGGAATCTGGGAAAGACAACATTAAAACCAAAATTCCAACACCAACAGAGGTCAACTCTTTATCATAAGTAGTTGAAAACTGGCAATCTAAAGATATATGTCATATTGGAAGAAAGAAATTGCTAGTCTCCACTAGCCACTTGTAAAGTGGAGGGACATTTTTACCAACTCTTATTTCTCAAGAGAAATTGATAAACAGATTTTATGTGTCACTTATCA